CAGGGCCCAAGCCCCCCAAATCTCGGATGCTCCAGCGACCACAGTGGACCTTTCCTAGGAGGCTGCGTCCCCCGGGGGGGGTGGTTAGCAGACCCAAAGCATAACCAGTGGCCGTGTTTAATTTTGCCCCGCTCCCCCCTCCTCCCAGCCCTTCCCTCCCCACAGCCCCAAGTGTCAAGGTCTCAGGGCTCGAGAGCAGCTCACATCTCTTCCCTAGTACTGTGGGCTGTGACCTGCAGGCCATGCATGGCCGTGGCTGGAAAGAGAGGTGAAAGAAGGTGGCTTGGCTGTTCAGCCTCCCAGCCTGGGACCTGCACGCGTCTTCCTAGGACACACTCTCGGGGCATGGTGTAGGTTGCAGCACCTGGGAAGTCTGCTTACTCTGCGCGCCTCCAAAGCCGAGCACAGGGACAGCTCCATGCCCACTGGCTACGGTTTCTCAAACCCAGTGGCCTTTTCTCCCTGTGGCTCCAGGAGCAAGGCTGGGGACACGTGTGGAAAGTCCTTGCACGCTGTGACAGCATCTCAGGCCTGTAAGCCCAGAGTCCTTGGTGGTCTGGGTGCTCTGCCCCCTCCCTGCTGCACAGAGACTATGGCCCCCTGGATTCCAGCAGAGGGGTCTTTGGAGGGACCTGCCCTCCCCAGCCTTCAACTTCCCAATCCTTAAAACAAGGACAATATTCCCTTCCCTTGAAACCATAGAATTTTAGAGTTGGAAGGAGCCTTAAAAACCCTCCTACCCACATTCCTTTGTTTATAAAAGAAAAATATGAGGCACAGAGAGAACAAGCAAGTCATATGAAGTCACACAGCGAGTGAGTGACTGAGCCATGACGAGACCCAGGCTTCCACAGCTGCCGCAAAAAGCCCTCCCCCTCCAGTGGCAGTTCTCAAGCTTTAGGGAGCCCTGCAAGCCCCTGGGGGGCACAGACTTGTTAAAAATGCAGAGCCCCGGGCCTCATGCCCCAGGCTCATTCAGTAGGTCTGGGGCCCGGGAATCTGCATTTCAAACAAGCTCCCTAGTGATCCGCACGCAGGGGGTTCTCACCACAGGGGAGTTTTCATTCCCTGCCCACTTCACGGGGCTGCTGGAAACGGAAGACCACGTGAGGAGGGACGTGGAAGGCTTTAAAGATCACTGCGCGCTGAGAAGAATGTCATCCTGCACTTCCCTGCCTCCCCGGACCCTCCCCACCCTCTCCCGGCTGCCCCCGCTGATTTCCCAGGCCTCCTGCTTCCAGTAGGAGCCCCTTCTACTTAGAGAGGGATGGTCACTGTGTCCCTGGTGACACACTGTCCCACCCTGCCCAGGACCCACTGTCTCCCAGGAGAACCCCCAGATCAGGTGCAGAATCTGGGGCTGGAAGGAGGTTACCCAGTGTCACCAGGAGAATCAGAGACCGGGAGGGGCAGTGTTGGGGATATTCTCCAGTTCTGTGTCCATCAGGAAGAATCAGGTGTGGGGTCGAACACCCCTGAGAGCCAGCTCATCTCAGCCACCAACTACACGCCCCTGTGCAAACCGCTTCACTTCGTGCCTCATTTGTTTCTTGTTGGGTAAATTGTGGGCAGAGGCACCTGCCGGGCACAGCTGTTCCGTGAAAAGAGACGACCCTTGTAAATGGCAAAGTGACGTACACCATAAGGCAGGGCCGCCAGGTAAAATACAAGATGCTCAATTAATGATGAATTTCAGAAAACAACAAATAATTTGTGTTTAAGTATATTGCAAATATTGCATGGGACACACATAGTAAGATATCATTTGTCGTTTATCTGAACTTCAGAGTTAATCAGGCATCCTAGGGGGCTGCTTGTTTTCCTGTTTGGGGTTTTTTGCTAAGTTGGCTGTTGGGCATTGAGCAGGCCCCCCTCGCCCTCCTCCTTCAGACCTGGCCCCAGCAGGGCAGTTCCCCCCAAGTCCTCAGACCCAGACCCGCCCCCAGCCCTGACGGAGCCTGGACAGAGGGGACCAGTCGCCCCCACGGTGTTCCTTCCTCCCTGTGCTCTGCTCCGTGACCGAGGGCTCCCATCGGCGCGGTGGCCGCACGAGAGGCTCGCCTGGCAGACGAAGCATTTTTCTCACTGTCAGAGCTAGTCAAGGTCACCTGCTCAGCTTCGTTGCGCTTCTCTGGGGAGGAAGGAGGTGAGGGAGATGAGGGCCAGGCAAGGAGGACGGGACCCCTTTGCTCCCCGCTCTGAATCCCCTGCCCTGGGAGGCAGGGCGCCTGCCGAGAAAGCCCTGGAGCTTGTGGCCCGTGGAGCCTGATTTTCCTCGGCAGGAAGTGGGTGGTCAGCCTGGCAGGGGGGCCGGGAGCCAGGAGGCCCTGGCACCTCCCCCAGCTGTTCTTAACTCGGTGTGCCATTTGGGCAAGCCACTCCATCACCTCTCTGGGCCTTCTAGTTAAAACAGGATGATAATAACAGCACTAACGCTTGCACAGTACTCATTGTGGGTCAGGCACTGTTCTAAGTACTTTACACATAACACCCTTTTAATGCCCCCAACAACCCTACGAGGTGGGTACTAGTATCATCCCCATTTTACAGATGAGGAAACTGCGGCACAAAAGGTCACACAATTAGTAAGAAGTAGAGGCGGGATTTGAACCGAGCAGCTCAGGGCCAGAGTCTGGGCTCTGGGCTCCGAGCCACGTTGCCCTGCTGCCTCTGTGAAAACACAGGAGCACAAATGCAGGAGGAGGGAAGGGGGCGACTACATCTATCGAGACCCTACTCCGTGCTCAGCATCACTGTGACCTTGACAGAGTTGATCTTGTTCAAACCTCACAGCCAGCAGGGTGTGGGGTACTGCTCGGATCATACATCTGAGTCGGGATGGGAGTCTCTCCCGTCAAGGCCTCTGCTGGTTCCTGCACCACCCGCCCCATCTCTGGCTCACGGTTCAAGGGACACTGCTCTAGCCACACACGTGGGCAGCCTGCAGCGGGAGGAGAGCCGCTCTTGGCACTTCACCCCATGAGGTGCTGGAAGCCCTCCTGTGCCCTCTCGCTGCCTCCGTCCTCTCCTCCTGATTGAAACCAGCCTCCAGCAGGGTGTGGACACTGCTCCCTGCTCTGAACTTGTCCATCCTTTCCCAGCCACACCTCCCCGACCTGGGCTCCTTTCCTTCCCTCTATTACAGACAGCGGGAGGAATAACACTCGACATTCTTATCTGGTTGTGCTCCTGACAACCCCCCAGTCAGATGGACTAGACACCTGCGTCCCACTTTCACACAGGAGGAAGATGAGGCTCAAAAAAGTTAAGTGACCCCCCCAGAGTCACCCAGTTTTTAAGCCAGGACTCAAACCTATGTCTTCAGACTCCAAATCCAGGGCGCTGTAGAGACCTCAGAGGTCAACCAAAGTACTTTAGAGATGAGGAAACTGAGGCCCAGACAGGACCCAGGGCCTCTTCAAGGTCACAGCCATCCATGGCAGAACTGAGAGTGAATGAAACCCAGAGCTCCTGACCCCACAACACCTTGCCCTCGTGTGGATGACAAACGGAACCACTTATACTAACTCAGCTAACAACGGGGCTGAATAAGGCTGACTCTACCAGGAAGCAAAGGCAGGAACAGTGAGAACCAAGGCGTACCCCACTCCACAACGCGGTCTTCATCCCGACAGCCCTGTCTCCAGGACCGTCTTCTGGTGGGGAGGGTCTGGGCAGCCAGGCAGGTGAAGGAAGGCAGAGTTTACAGTTGGGGGACTCCGTACCTTGCAGGTCAGATCTTTTCAGGACTTGCTCAGGTGGGAGAGCCAGCCTGGGCTGGAAGTGCCAGCTCAGAGGCCTGCGTCTGCCAAGGAACGAATGCCCTGGTGCCTGGGTTTGTGCTTAGTAAAGCATGGAATGACTAAGTGAGCACAGGAATTCAGGGCATAGATGAGCATCATTCTTGAATTCTCAGTAAATGGAAAAAAGATACCACAGCTAAATCCTCATCTATGTCACCTTTTATAATGTGCACCTTTCGGCTCTGGTTCCCATTCTGCCCAACCCCTGGGGACAAGGTGAAAGGGAGGCAGAGGCAGGCTCTGAGAGGTCACTGCTGGGATCTAGGCTCACATGCTCACTGGTGGAAGGCTGGAATCCACTGAGGGTAAGGACATTCCGCCTGCTCCCTGTCCTGGGGCTCATCCCTGTGGATGCCAGGGTTCCCTCCTTCTCAGCTCTGCCTTTGCTTCCTTCCTACTGGCCTTCACAGGGCCCCTTAACTGCTGTGCCCTCATGTTCCCATTTGCCAGACATGTGTATGTATGTCCATGTCACCATTGAAAAAGTGTACTGGGAAAGCAAAGGGGCACCAAGCTACATGGGTTTGTTCAGCTATTTCATCTCTGGGCTGAAAAGCCACCTCACTGCAAATCCTTGCTGCATCACCGACTCCTAGTGGGCTGCCAGTCCTCACCAGGAATATTCCTCACCGGTATCAGACAGAAGAGCAAACTGGGAGCTGAGACACTGAGACCTGCTCAGGCTCTGGAGGCTGCTGGAGAGTTCTTAGAAGTGGCTGGCCCTCTTTCAACGTTCAGTGTAGTGAACTGAGCGCTCTCCGGCAGCTGAGCTGTTTCCCACACAGTGGGTGTCTTTCACTTAGGGGGAGCCTGTAAATAACCAGCATCCACCAGTACTGGGACCCAAAGCCCAGGGAGCGGCTCTTGATCTCCATCACGGGTGATGCAGAAATGCCAGATACCGGACTTCAGAAAGTGAGTTGTTGGAGAAACAGGGGGAGAAGCCCTGCATCAGGGCCCAGAAACTCCAGAGGGTTCCAGATGTGTCCCTGCCCAGCCCCCTCTCCTGGCTGGGTTCCAGGAAAAGCTCAGGCTGGGAACCTCACCCGGAGCAACGCTCGTCCAAGGCAGTTGCACCCAAGCCTCCTCCGTCAGGCTCCACCCGAGGCCCCCTGCCCAGGCGCTCCTGAGATCTGCTGGCCTCTCCCTGCTCCCTCCCTCCCTCCCCCAGCCCAGCCTGGCCCGCCGCTGGCTCACCTTTGGGCAGCTTGGACGCGTTCTCCTGGATCCAAGAGAAGAGGTGGGCGAAGTCGCAGTCGCAAAGCCAGGGGTTCCCGTCCAGGCGCAGAGCGCGCAGCGCGGGCAGCGCGGCCAGGGCGGCCACGCTGAGGCTGTGCAGGTTGTTGCCGTTGAGTTCCAGCACCTGCAGCGACTCCAGGGTCTCGAAGGCGGCCTCGTGCACGCCCGCCAGGTGGTTGTTGGCCAGGCTCAGCCTGACCAGCCTCGCGGCGGAGCGGAAGGCGCCGGCGCCCAGCTGGGTCAGGTGGTTGTAGCTGAGGTCGAGGAAGGCGAGCTTGGCCGAGCCGCTGAACGTGCCCTCCTCCAGCGAGCGCAGCGAGTTGTTCCTGAAGTCCAGGTAGACCAGGTCGCCGTAGAAAATGAAGAAGTCCTCGGGGATGTGTTGGATGCGGTTGCCGGCCACCAGCAGCTTGCGCACGTCCAGGGGGAAGGGGTCGGGCACGCTGGGCAGCCCGCGGTCGCTGCAGTCCACGGTGTGCGGGTCGGTGCAGGTGCAGCCCGCGGGGCACGCGAGCCCCGGCCCGAGCAGCAGCAGGAGGCTGCAGAGCCCGAGCGTGGCGGCGGCGCGG